ATGTGACCCCCTAGTTTTTGCATTTAATTTTGCTATTTTTATCTTTGTAGAGAGGAACAATAATGGTACTGTTCCAATTAACAGAAACAATGCAACATTCACACACACACACACACACACACACACACACACACACACACACACTTCCTATAGCATTTATGATGACATCAGGAATGGGAAAAGCAAGAAATGGGAAATGCAGAATTGGTTCTACAATATAATTCCATTTCAGTAATTTAAACATACATCAGCAATAACTTAAATGATGCACTGCATGAATATAATATTTGCAAATGGCAACAGTGTAAGCAATAAGATTTAAAAGTATATAGAAAAAAGAAGTCAACATTCTCTTATTTATGTTGCAAAATTTATTCTACTAAGATGACAGCCAAACCTTTTTTGCATTTGTTGTTCTAGAAAAACTCTCTACATTCTTGGTAATTTCATATTTTTCTCTTTCAATGTTTTGTAATTCCATCAGTTTTAATTTTTGAAAAACCTGGGCCTGTGGAGAAAAATAAATGGGTAACAAATATACTTAATGTACAGAACTAAACATGTACCAATAACAGAAAGAAAGCTTGAGGTAAAAAAAATTTACTTCACAAATCACTGACAAAATTCAATCTGGATGTAATGTTATGTTCAGTGCCTCAAACAGATTCCCTTTTGGACACCTGGATATTCTTCTCTTACATTTTTTTAATGCCTTTTTTCCAGTTCACTTAGAGGCCATAGTTAAGAGACTGAGATTTCTGCCTTAGAAGGCTGGGAAATAAAATGAATCCTGAAAATGAAAACAATCCATGTGTTGAGATTTCTGTAACCTAATCCCTTTTCTGCTTCAATAAATCTGATTAAAGAGACTTCTGTGAGAATCTTGCTTTTGAGGCAATTGACTGTCAAGACTTAAAACCAATGTCTCTAGAAATAGAGACTACAACTTCTATAAATTGTACTTACCGTACATGCCATATTTGTTAGGAACTATGAAGTTACAATCAAACACAGCTGGAAAGCACCCACTGAGGAAGGCTAGTCTGCTATAATGTCATCCCTGTCAATGATTACTTCAGCTTCAAGCGCAATCATACATAGGCAAACAGTAGATACATGATAAACCGCTCCAAACTCAATTGCAGAAAATATGACTTCAGCAGCAGAGTGGTCAATGCCTGGAATACACGACTCGACTCTGTTGTTACATCCTCAAACCCCCCATAATTTAAACTGTCTAGCGTGGACCTCACCCCTTTCTTAAGAGGTCTGTAAGGGGGCGTACATAAGCACAAAAGCATGTCTACCATCCCTGTCCTATTGTCCCCATTTATTCACACCCATTTCCTGTGTTAATGTCCACGTTTATACTTATACCTGTTAACTCGCACATGTTTGACAAACTAACTAATTAAATAAATAAATAAAAACATTCTGTAATATCTTTAGCTGGAATAAAGTATCTGTATTTTATAATTATAAAAATATTACTTGTAGCAACAGTTATACACAGCATTTCTCCTAACAGTAATTAACTTATTCAGAAATCGTTCATTTCTACATTAATGACTTGTATAAAATTACTCAGGCAGTTTTTAAATTATATCAAGGTTACCTCATTACGATCATGCTGTAAAAATTATGGTTGGATAAATTATCAGTTATATTTCTCATTGGTCTAACTATTGAAGGACAGTTGAAAATATTTCAGAAAAAAATCAATGAAATTAAGATGTTTTCATTTGATATTGTTATGCATGGACAGAAATGTGCAACAAAATAAAATAAACAAATGTGATTGGCTAGGATGACTTATTGCAAACATAATATTTCCTATGTCAATTATTATTTTCTGTAGAATTATTGTACAAGATTACTGAGCTTTATATTGGAATTTAATGATACAATAAAATATTTACATTTTTAATTATTTGTTCTTGAGTCTTGGAAACTCTGTGAGAAAGGTCTTCTGGTTTTTTGGATTCATTCTAAATAAGAAAAAAATTATCACTGCAAGGAACGATCACTCAAGATATTATAGAACTATTTCCAGATTTTCAAGACTCTATGTTTCCTTTCTAATTCTATTTCCACAGAAGAACAAAACATTCAGAATACAATCTTTCTGAATTACTGTGTATCCCATAATAGGAAAATATTGTATTTAAATTTATAAGTATGTTTTTTAAATGTTCTGTGAGATAAATTGCCCTTGATTAAAACACCTCCTGATGTTATGATGGATAATTTTGTAGACGAAATGAAAAAATGTAATCCCAGCAACAGCACTAATATATCTTTATGAAATGGTTCATTTACTGGGCTAATAAATAGTCTGAACTAATCTTATAGTTCTTTCCAGTGGTGGGATTCAATTTTTTTTACTACCGGTTCTGTGAGTGTGGCAGGGGAAGGATACTGTAAAATCACCAATTTCCTCTACTGGTTCTCCAGAACTGGTCAGAACCTGCTGAATACCACCTCTGGTTCTTTCTAAACTACAGCAAATATTGTTTATTCTTCCAATTACTTTCCCTTTTTAAATATAATACAGAAATGCGAATATCTACATTATGTAGGGAAATAATAATAATAAAAAATTTAAAAAGACTAAAAGCCATGGTTGAATTGAGGGACATAAGAAATTTAAAGAATACATTTATGAAAAAAAACAGATATAGTGGAAGCAACAGTGCTTTGATAGTGATAGTAAACAATGTTCTGCACTTTTTCTTTACTTTTCCTTATTTCAAGACTTCTTTTTTTGCCTTATTATTTCTTACTTCTATTCCACCTAACATTTCTTATCCCAAAAGGAAATAGCATAACTGGTATGTAGTGAACATCTGTAAGACTCAACAAACTGTACTGAATAGTTACTATACAATAATTATAATCTACCACTGGTTCATGTAAATGTTTAGAATATCTTCTTCCTGAGGATTCCAAAACAAAGCTTCTTTCCTTCTTTACTTTCAAATATTTTTTCTTTGATTTTGTCTGCCAAGAAAGAGAAAATTAAATTAGTTAAGCTTAACAAGATAAAGATAGTAGAATATCTCCTTAAGTCTATTTTAATTATTAAACTATACCATCCCTATCTCCAAAATATTTAAAGGCAAATACAAATGTTATAAGAAATATGACACATCTCTGTCAACTCCCACAATTTCCAAATTGTTATAATTATTCTGATATGCCTGGGTAACTTTTTCCAATGCTCTCATATCCACCCATAATTGAAGCAACTCAATATAGTGTTTTCACTCTTTTCCCAACCCATTTTTTATACGTGGCTGATATGACCAAGAGTTGGGATCTGCCTGGTTTCTAATGACTGCTTTAGACTTGAGGTATGCCCTCTTTTGCTTTGGTTTTTGGCACCTGCCTCCAGGGTATTGGGTATTTTGGTTTTGCTCCTAGAAGAAATTGGACATCTGATTACTGCAGTGTCATCTTGCAAATGACTGAAATTATGCTTTCTAATCAGTCAAATGCACTTTTAAAAGAGCACTAGCACAAGTTGATTTAAGGCAGGAAAAGGAGCCAGGATCTACTAATTTATTTATTGCTGCTTCTGTCACTAATGACTACTTTTATGGGTTTTCCATTGCTTTTCACACAACTTTTCTGATTTTATTACTACAGTTGGGAGAGATTCTGTTTTGCCTGCTTCATTGGCTCCCTCTGCGTGCTGCAGTCACTTGTGATGAGACCTGCTCTTTCTTTGCAACACTCATTAAGATAGAGCTTGCTTGTTATTGACTTCTGTTCCTTCCCAAGCGTGTCTATCAATATATAACTATGTACATAGACCCAGAGCTTGATATATCTTTCCTCTTTAAAGTACAAAGCGAACTTTGTGTTTCATTTACTCATTAATTAACAGAATGCCTATTCCTTCTGGCAACGCTTATGTTTTTAGAGTATCCTTGAGAAAGGATTATATTTCTGATCTGCATTCAGCTTTAATAAAATCATTTTCACTGGCACTTGGGAATCTCTTTTTCTTGGCTTCTGTGGCTACTTTCCTCATACGAAATTTGCATTCTGGCCTGTTTGCAACTAACATGAAATGGATACATAATATAGGATAATAACAATTATTATTGGCCTGCAGCAGATACTTCTTCCTCTCAGTCGCTCAATTGCAATGATAGCAGTGCCTTTCAAAAGATAAAGTTGTTGCTGGATAGCAAGGTAACTGGAGTAAAGTCTAACATACAGTAAATTAGCTACTTGTAACTTGCTCAGAGAGTCTGTCTGCCATAAATGATATATCTAATTTCCTGCACAATATTTTTAAGAAGAGATTGGACAAATACTGGTCTGAAATGGTTAGGGTTCCTGCTTGAGCAGCAAGTCCCTTCCAACTCTATTATTCTGTTATACCAGGCCAAAGAGACAATATGGAAGCTGCATTTCACTAATGGATCTTTTCAGACCCTATTGTTCTTTATGGCTTTCCAAGTTCAGACCTTTAAAAGGTCCCTTCATTTTAAAGATCTTTTAAAAAGGTAATTTATTCAGTTATGGCTACTTCCATCTTAGAAGAATGGGAATTATCATCTGTGGCTTTTGTGAAGATCAAAAGACTTCTCTTAGTCTGGATTGGGTAACTTGCATCCTCTGGTTTATTGAATTTAGTGTCAGATTATGGTTGAACATATTTTTTTTTGTCAAATTAGTCAATGCAATAGTTTATCATGCAACAGTTTATCTTAAGTATTGCTTTCCCTTACATTATTTTGTAAAAAAAAAAGCATGATACCATAGAATTCTTAATCTTTTAGCCAATAGCTAATAATCAAACAAGGCAAATAAAATCACTGATATCCTTCAGCTTCAATCCTAGGCATGTAGGAGGTATATAAATGTTTGAAATTACTTTTAACACACACTTTGTCTCATATACTTTACTTTGACATTGTTTCTAAATTAAATGAGGGGAGATGATAATGTTTTGATATATCCCAACAATTTTGTTTATCTCTATATTAAATGCCAAGAAAATACATTTCAAGTATAAAAGTGATGTAAATAGTTGAATGATAATTTTACTATACCTGGCCTTCTGTTTTATCAGTAAACTCATTAGAGTCCGAACTGTCTGAACTGCAAAAGAAAACAAGTATGTTATTTTGATTTACAGGATTGTGAACAATAAGATACTCTTATAACAATACTTAATTACCTTATCAGATAACAGAACTGGGAAACATATCATAGCTAATGATTTCATTTTTTTAATACGATTAGAAATATTTTTGGAGAAACAATCCATTTACCTAGAATCTCCTCTGTCTCCTATATCATTGAGAGAGGCAGCTGGATCATCCTGTTTTACTAGTTCCTCCAATTCTTTCAGGCATTCATTGTACTAGGAGAGATCACAGAGTCAGCAGTGAAAGTCAGTGCCTATTATTATTCAGTTCTGTAGGAAAAAAATGTTCCTCTGTATTACCTTGCTCTTCTTTTCAGTACAAAATGCCAATAATGAATCACAGAAATTGTATCCAATGGACTCCAAATCTTTAGCACTGAAGTGGGTAGCATTTCTATTTCCTATAATACAAAAGGGAAACCATATTGGAAAAAAGAATTGTCCAGCAATAATTTTATATACTCTGGAGCAGGGGTGTCAAACTGGATTTCTTCGAGGGCTGGATCAGTATTGTAGTTCTTCTCCATGGGCCAACCAGGAGGAGGGGAGGGAGATGGGACAGACGCCTCCTGCAGCATCCTGCTGGCCAAAACAAGATGCACGTTTTGGCCAGCGGAATGCTGCAGGAGACTGTCCAGGCTGAAAATGGGGCGTGCCCCATTTTGGCTGCCAGAGGTACCGCGGGCCGGTCCATTGCTATTTCCAGGCTTTTAAGCATCCCTGCTCTGGAGAACATAAGAAAACTGAATTCTGGCTACTGTTTTACAAATTTATCAAATAAAAAAATTATGAAAATATTCTTATACATTTTATAAATCATTGATGGATCATGGTTGAATTTGTACAATCTGTACAAAGTGCTGAAACTATAGTTGAAGAATTAGCTATATTTTAAGGTGTCTTTACTTTGTTCATTTTGCACAATGGTTACTTCTTGACTCTACTCCAAACCTTCTGGCAATTAAGAATTTTGTTAGGAACTGCTAGCTTTCCCATTTCACTCATAGGGCTAAAAGTAGCACACTGTAGTAATTGAAACATAATTGCTCATCTGTGATAATTGATATTCATAACTATTTTTTCTTTAGTTAAATAAAATTCTAAGACACTTTTGTAAACATCTATTTTCAACCTAGCCAATTTTGAGGATGGTTTGATCTGCTTAGTACTTGGCAGGCTAGGCTGGCAATTTAAGGAAAAAAAATATTCAAAGAAGGCAACACCACTTTCATGGTTTGCCAAGAGAGAACATGTCCATTTGGACACCAGGAATTGATTATCTTATCTTTATTTAGCAATTATCTCTCCAATGCAAGAGCTGCTATTGAATACATTAATTATTAATTCTGGAGTAATATTACTTCCTTTACCCAGTTTAGAGCCACAGAAGGTTACTTCCAAGGTATAGCTGTTGTTGACGCCCATTTTCCACACAACTACTCGACCTGTTCCTTCTTTGCCTTTCTGCATTTTAAAATTGCAATCTTGGAATGAGAACTTAATAGGATAAAAATTGAAATAAAGTTTAGGAATTCCTGCTAAAGAGACAAATTACTCATTACAGAGCAGATACGCAGACATGATTTAAAACAACCTCCTTGGATAATGCTCTCCCTTCAATATGCAAGCTATAATATCAAGCTATCAGTTCATGTCGTTCCTTTGCATAATTCACATCATTTCTGAAAGAAAAAGGCAAGTGTATAATGTAACATTCTGCTCCTACAGAAAAAACTGGAGTAATGCATAAAAATAATGTGAACAGCAGAGCATAGCCAAAATAAAATGCTTTTAAGATATGGGAGAAAATAGTGTGCAGCTGCAGTAGTTATTGTTTTATATGAACTAAAAATCCCACTGCAATTGTAAAATCTGATCAAACTTCTAGAGGTAGATTTATGAAGCTGTCGTTAGTATAGAGATGCACAACCTAAAGTTCTGCTCAAAGGTTTGGGCAAATTGTTCACATGTTGAACATATTTGTTCAAAAGTTGGTACTATAAAGAAAAGTTATTAATATACAATTACAGTGTTTAATTTATTAAATTTTAAATACATTTTTCTCCTTATCCTACTACCGCCCAGTACAGTACACTCAAAGACTGAGTATTGTCCCAAACATGAAAAGAGTTATGCATTTATATCTTAATAGAATTAATAGTTAACATGATATATCTGAAATCTACATTTAAAATATTAGATTGAGGGACAGACTGATTCTGAGTTTACAATCATTACAGTATAATATTAAACTAATATGCAAAGGGATTTGATTAATAATCTGAGATATAATATTAAAAGTTGGCTTACTTTATCTGGACAATTTTTGCTCATGAGGAAAGGAAAAATGCGCTGGAGTACGCATGCCCTTTCATCTTGTTCTTTTTTTTCACAGCCATACATGAAGACATTTTCTTTCCTGCTATGACCATGAAGGTCACAGTATAGAAGAACATTTCGTTCTTCCATTATTCTGTTACAAGAGACAAAATCACATTATGAGAGCTTTGGTTATTGAAACTTAGATACTCTGATTGGGTTACACTAGGAATTGTAGGCAGTGGTGTATTAACCATTAAGTAGACTAAGCACGTGCTTAAGGCACCAGGCTCAAGGGGGCATCACAAAGTTGAGAAAGAAAAAAGAAACCAATGAAGATTTGTACAGTATGTACAAAAGGGCACCAAGATTTGTCAGTACTTAGGGCACCAATGAGCCTTAATCCACCACTGATTGTAGGCATCATTTTAAGATAGTTTAGGTTTTAGGTTACCCATTATATGTAGGCATGACAACCACAAGTAATGATCCAGTTTCAACAGAAGCTTTTTCATTGTATATACTGGAGATTCAGCTTCATCATCTCCTTGTCACATTTCCCTCAATTTTTGCAAATATTAAATATACAATATTAAAATGCTGTCTCCATAGCAGGTTAATATTTTTAAATTAAATCATATGTATGAGCTTCATCATTTTATATAACTTAATTAAAGCTCAGTGTATGATTTTTATTGTTATATATAGTACCTATTCTTTTCTTCTCTTCCAGAAATTGGTCTTTTCATTCCACATGTAAATTACAAAAAAATAATAGTTACAATAAAAATTACATACTGTATAGAAAAAAACCAGTAATCTTTGAACTAAAATGGAAACAGGTTGGATAATAAAATCATGCATTCATTAATAGTGAACTAATAGTGAACAGAGAATAAATGTATTAAGCAGACAGAAGTGATTGTGTTACCTTTTTACCTTTTGATCATGCTGCGGGTATACCAAATAGAAGGGAAAGATTCTTTAAGTTCTGATCTATAATTGCGATTCAAGTCCTTGCCGGCTAAAGAGCAGCGATAATTGCCCACAATCACACCATCTGGATTCAACATCGGTACCACTTTAAAAATAAAAGTGTCTCGGAGCAATTGCGCATTATCTGAATCCCCCAGAAGGTAATCCAGAAAGCCCTTCATCATCCATGAACTGTTTGTTTCACCAGGATGCACCCTTGCTGTCAAAATGACTGCTGACTTGCATTTTTCCCTATTAAAATCTTTCAAGGGATTGGTAATAGTTAAAACATAGACTATATTCCTAGCCAGAGAATGACATAATATACGGATTTTGCAGAATTTTGAGCGCCTTGGGTCTCTGGCGATGGCTGACAAGTAGTCTTGCAGGTTGCTGTAAGTGTATGGATAGCAGTGGGCAAAATAGCAAGTATCCCTGTCATGTGGAAACTGGAAAGTCCATGTCAAGGAAAAATATTGGTGCCCATCATTGCTGAAATTGTTTTTATAGTACTTGATTTGATCTCCTGTCCTTTGCCACCCCACCTTGTGGATCTTTGCTTCTGCTTCTGAATATAATAATGGGCGCATGCCACGATTGTACAAGCTTGTTGGCTTGGTGAAGTTGACAATGGTGAATCGGTAAGGCATTCCTGCTTGGGTGTTGGTAACCTGGAAGTAGTACCATTGGGTGTGCTTATTTGTGTAGAGATCAGTACGCAGTGTCAACTGGTATTCAAAATCATTACTAGCAAGGGAAAAAGGAGAAAAATATTTTTAATATAAATTATACATAGAACGTAATTTATGTTGTGTCATTTATTCATATTTGACCGTTCGTATTTCCTTCATCCCTTTTAACAACACATATTTTTTTAAAGCCAAATTTATTTGAAATTATATTTACAGGGTCCCATTGTCAATTATTGATTTCAGCTTTGAATGGAACTTTTTTATGGACATATTTTAACATTTAAAAATAAGCACTAACATTTATACTGAGTTACAAACAAACTGAGTGGTATTGAGGGTGATGAGAGATCCAAACCTCATTCTGGCACAAAATTCATTTAGTAATCTGGAACCCATTGCAATGTATCAGGCTAATCTACTTTGCAGAGTTATCAGGATAAATGGAAAAGGAAAAATAAAGTTTGCTACAAAAGGATAAATGGAAAAAGAAAAATAAAGTTTACTGTCTTGAATTTACTAGAAGTAAAACAGGCTACAGATGTAAAACCATACATAAGTATGCATTAAATTTACCAGGAATGGCATTTTTAATTCGATTATATAACAAATGTCAAGAAATTGTTTTAATATTAGAATTTGGATACATGTGGAAATTCAGGGCAGAGATTATTTTAACGGTGTACTTGAAAAATAAGCTTTTAATTTGGTACCCTCCAAATGTGATTTACAAATCTACATGGTTCCATAAGCAAGTTTGGTCTAGTGACTAAGTCACCAGAGATTGTGAGTTCAAGTCCTGTTTTAGCCATGAAAGTCAACTGGGTGACCCTGGCCCAGTCACTCTCTCTTAGACTAACCTACCTCACAAGGTTGTTGTGGGGAAAATAGAAGGAGGAAAATGTGTTGGATATATTCACTGCCTTGGGTTGTTTGTAAAAATAATAAATATGGGATACAAATAAATAAGTAAAAATCTAGAATACCCAACCTGGGCATACATCAACTCAATGAAAGCAAAAATAAAGAAATAAAACCCATATTTTAAAAAATCCAGCTGAATATTTGAAATTCATGAGTAGTTATCAGCCCTCACTAGCCCAGTCTTGATCTATAGTTCAATGTCCAAGGTCCCCTCCAATCTGAGATCAATGCCTCACAACATTATGGACCTTGTAAAGTTGAGCTAATTATCTCCATAATATTTTTTGCCTCTCCAAATCATTAATAAGTTTGCCTCTCATGCTATGATGTCAGTCTCAAAATGTCCTCTAGAATGGTGGGTAGGGTAGTTTCCCAATGACAGGAATTCCCACCTCATTCCACCACCCACCTCTGGGATTCTTTCCTTTTTCAGAAGCCAAGGGGCTAAAGTGCCTTGACTTTGTCTGTCCTTTATTATTGCTTGGATAAATAACTGTCACTCCCACAGTAATGATTCTTTTTTTTTTAATGTAAAGCTAATTATAGCGAGGTGAACAGCAAGGGCAAAGCATGTGTTGCTTCCAGCTTTTAAAAGTCCAGCTGGCCAGCTGGAGGGAGCAACAGTAGATGTTAGTGAACAATGAGATACATGCCAAGTACTACAGGGAATTGAAAAAGATGAGAGAAGCTGACATCTGTGTGGAAGTAATTACGTATCCAAGTTTCTCTCCATGCCCAAACAAGGTTCAATGGGAGGCTTTATTACTTTATTGTGCAAAGATAACAGTTTACAAATGTGAATACTCAGATCTCAGTAGTGGTGCAAACTATACACAAATACCTTGTGTTATTTTTGGGATCCAATTTCAGGTGCATTACCAGTTCAGAATTGCTTAAAAATTTAAATAATATTCATTCCTCCTTCTAAAATATTATATTTGCCATATAGCAGTATGGCAAATATAAATATGTATGTTCCTGGTCCTGCTGTGTATTGGAATAGTTCTACAAGAAAATATGGATGCCTAATTTAAGTGTTTTTTTTTTAGCATTTACAAAGATTTTGGTAAGCAGAGCAGCATTTCTGCCAACCAGAGTTAATTGTACTTGAAAAAACAACATTATTTTCCTGACAACTAGCTGTTGTCTTTGTCTTATAAAGCATATAAATAGACTGATTGGCAGTTAGTACCAAAGGAACTGACAGCTCAATAGGTATACTGCTGCAGAAGAAAAATAATTTTTAACTAAGCTGCTCATGATAAAGCTTAATCAAAGAAATTAATAAAATGGTTTGGGTTGAAACAGAGATAAGAGAATTTTGTGGAAGAAAGCTAATTGGGCAATTATAAATGCAGAGAAGGTGAAGGCAAGAAAAGTGAAAGGGTCCATGCAGAAAGGAGAGGAGTATGGAGAGAAGATTCTGGAGATGGAGAAATGGAAATAAATAATAAGGAAGGGAAATTGGATGTAGAAGAACATTAAAAGCAAGACGGCTCGTATGAGGGCACACAGTATAAAGTGACTGAAGAGATTTAAAAGGACAATCTTTTGTTTGAAACTGCCAGGTGTGGTCTTAGAGAAGAAAAAGATTGCTGATGTTATAAATGCAGTGTGGAGTCTAGTGGGCTGTGTGTGAATTACTGCTGCTACCATTGCTACCATTTACTGCATGCACATCAGCTGATTCCCAAAGCTATTAAAAGGTCTTCTCAGAATCTGACATTTGTGTTTGTCACTGGCAACCCCTTTCTTACTTCCAGGAAGACATTCAGTAAAGGGAGTAACTGTAGTCAAGGAATTAGGTCAGCAGTTTCCTGGACTCCAGAAATAGAAGCAAGGAGAAGTGGATAAGAATTCATTTTACAGGTCACTCAAAATCTAAGGTAATGGATGTGTTTGTTGGGAGGAGAAAATACAGAATTGAAGAGGGTCTGATGGCTGAACTGGAGTTGTGGTAGATTAAACTGGGAGAAATGCTGATGTTATAAGGGGTAAAATAGTAGTTTCCCCCTCTAAAATAATAATTGTGGGGAAACTTTTTTTTTACTTAAATAAGAGCAGTATATAGGTTAGGAAGGTTGAGTGGGCTGTAATGGGTTGCATTCTCATATGTAGATGAATGAATTGCTCATACTGACTTTTCCAAAGCGATAATTGGATGATTCAGAATCAGAATAGAGCTGGAAGGTACTTAGGAAGTCTTCTAATCCAGCTCCCTGCTCAAGCAGGAGATCCTATACCATTTCAGACAAGTGACTGTCCAGTCTCTTCTTAAAAACCTCCAGAGATGAAGGACCCACGTATGAAGGCAAGCTGTCCCATTGGTCAATTGTCCTCACTGTTGGGAGGTTTCTCCTCAATTCCAGGTTGCTTCTTTCTTTGATTAGTTTCCATCCATTGTTTCTTGTCCTACCCTCTAGTGCTTGGAAAATAAATTGACCCCCTCTTCTTTGTGGCAGCCTCTCAAATACTGGAATACTGCTGTTATGTCACCCCTAGTCCTTCTAGACTAGCCAAACACAATTCCTCCAATCTTTCTATGTTTTAGCCTCCAGTTGCTCTTCTTTGCACTTTTTCCAAAGTCTCAATGTATTTTTTGTGATGTAGTGATCAAAACTGGATGCAGTATTCCAGATGTGGTCTTACCAAGACCTTACACGATGCTAAAACTTCATGTGATTTTGATTCTATGTCTCTGTTTATACAATCAAGGATTGTATTAACTTTTTTGGCTGCTGCTCCACACGTCTGACTCATATTTAAGTGATCATCCACTAAGACCCCAAGGTCCCTCTCACAGTTACTGTTTTGAAGCCAGGTTTCTCCTAATCTGTACTTGTACCTTTAGGTTTTTTGGCCCAGGTGTAAAAGTCTGCTTTTCTCCATATTAAATTTAATTTTGTTGGATAGGGCCCATTGTTCAAATTTGTCAAGATCTTTTTGATCCTGAGCTTATCTTCTGGGGTATTGAAGCCAGTTCAGTGTCATCTGCTATTTTGATGAGTTCTCCTTCTATTTCCTCATCTAAGTCATTTATGAAGATATTGAAGAGTACGAGAACAGAACCTTGTGGTACCCATTGCTTACTTCCCTCCATGTGGATGTGGTACCATTAAGGACTACTTATTTAATACAGTTTGCCAGCCAGGTACAAATCCATCTCGTGGTGATGCTGTCTATCCCACATTTTTCTAGCTTACCAAGTAGAAGGTTGTAGTCTATTTTGTCAAATGCCTTGCTGAAGTCTAAATATACTATGTCCACAGAATTTTGCTGGTCTACTAATTCAGTCACTTTGTCAAAGAATAAAATAAGATTGGTTTGGCAAGATCCATTTTTAACAAACCTGGCTACTAGTTATAACTTTATTTGTTTCTAGATGCTTACAGATCTCCCCCCCTCCCCCCAGTATCTTCCCAGGTATTGATGTTAGGCTGATTGGTCTGTAGTTTCCTGGGTCTGTCCCCTTCACCTTTTTTTTGAAGCTGGGAACCACATCAGCCCTTTTCCAATCCTCTGGTAGATCCCCAGTGCTCCAAGATTTTTTAAAGATATGATAAAGTGGTTCTGAGAAAACATCTACTAGCTCTTTCAGAACCCTGGGATGCAATCCATCAGGTCCAGGTGATTTATATTCATCAAGGTCAGACAGGTGTACTCTTACTATTTTCTTGCTTATTTTAATTTTTATTTCTAGTCTGTCTTTCACTGTTATGGAAGGATGCAGTGACGTTCAAAGAGGGAAGAAATGGGATGTCTGTCATTCCCTTGAACTGTTGGGAGAATGAATGCAGAGAGAAAAGTGGAAAAAGACGAGGGTGCAGCATAACAGGTGTAATAGGCAGAAGGCACAAAATATGCCTGTCAAACCATACAATATGAGCAGAAATTACAGTGCTTCAGCTGGCTAGATCTTATGCCATGAAGAGCTTTACAGAGGAAAATGAGCACACCAAGCTACCACTGATGATGGTGCATTTGTAACTATACTAAATGTTTTTTTTCTTTTTAATGTTCTTATATTATTTTAGAATCTATTTAGAATCTTCATAAATGGAATTGTGTATAAATTGATGTAATAAATACTTAAATCCTGTACTTGGGCAGTATTTGCTAAATTACCATTGAAGATTATTTATCGTATTGCACATTCACATCATATTTTGATTAAAAAGCCCAAGAGATAAAAATGTAAAATATGGAATAAAAAAATTAAAATACAGATAGTCCTCAACTTACAACCACAATTGTGCCCAAAATTTCTATTGTTAAGTGAGGCATTTGTTAAATGGGTTTTGCCTGATTGTATGACTTTTCTTGCCATAGTTGTTAAATGAATCTGGCTCCCCATTGACTTTGCTTGTCAGAGGTGGTAAAAGGTGATCATGTGACCTTGGGGCACAGCAATGATCATAAGTATGAACCATTTGGCAAGCATCTGAATTTTGATCATGTGACCAAGGGGATGCTACAACAATTATAAGAGTGAAAAATGGTCATGTCATTTTTTCCAATGCCGTTGTAACTTTGGTCACTAAATAAACTGTTGTAAGTTGAGGACTATCTGTATTATAAATGCATATCTAGACTGCAGGTATAATTTTTTGCTTCATTTGTGACAGCCAGGAAATCAGCAAAGACCATTGAAGAAAATATGAAGTACAATTTATTAATAATGACTATTTTCCTAAAACAGTGAATTGGACTTTGAAGCTTATTTCATGCTGTCTAAATTCAAGGTCTACCAAGGATTAGCTTAATGCCTCAGAAAAATGGACTATTTTGCAAATTAAATGGGAAGCAACTTACATTTTGACCACTTTTTGCAGATTTCCACTTTCAAATCGTGCTTCAAAGATCAAAGTATTATCCCAGTCATTCCATGTTTGAGGAAGCACTTGCTTTGAAGGGAAACTTCCCCCTATTCGAGAATATCTAAAGTTGGGGTCCTTATTGGCTGTTGAGAGGAATAGAATATACTTAATCTTCAGTGGCAAATTATTGTTAAAAAACAATAACTTTAATATATTAATTTCTTAATATATTTCATTGATTACAAAAAGCCTTTTGACTCAGTATTTCAGCAAGCAATAATTAATGCATTGCTCAACCAAGGTTTAGACATTGCTTACATAAAGTTACTACAATCAATATATAAAAAACAATGGCAACAATTTCCCTTAATGAACTTAAAGTGAAAACCAACATAGAACGACAAGGCGATGCAACGTCACCTATCCTTTTCTCATCCTGCCTTGAAGAAGTATTTCGCAACTAGAAAGGGAAAAAGATGGAATAAAAATCTATTTAAATCTATTTAAATCACTTAAGATTTTTGGATGATGTTGTTCTCTTCTCATAAGACCAAGAAGAACTACAAAGACCCATAACGAGCTGCATGAAGAAGGAAAACCATTTGTCTTAGAAATAAAGCTGAAAAAGTGTCACATTATGTTTAATAAATTCATCAAAGAAAGAAAAATATATATATATCTGGAGAATAATTAGTTGTAGACGACTACATTATGAATCTCAATAGAAGGCGATACAAGGAAGGAAATTGAGCAGCAACTTAAATGTAGTTGGCAGACAGTCAGCAAGCTAAGCATTTTCAGGAACAACCTTCCCCTATGCCTGAAGAGAGAAGTTTTCAATCAGCGTGTGCTACCTGCTCTAGCATAGGCCAGTGAAACACGACACTAACCTTACAATAGATACAAAAGCTACAAAGTGGTGCAAAGAACCATGAAAAGATACATGCTTGGCTGTTGTGGCCCAGCAGGAGCTGTTGGAGCTGCCACCAGACTCTGACAGTGAGGGGCCCTATGAGTCGGCTCTGGAGGATGTGGAGGACCCTGGACAGGGTTCTGACTCTGAGCAGGGTGCAGAGAGGCTGGTTGGCCACCAGGAAGCGCCTGAGCCGTGGACCAGTGGGGAGGAGACAAGGGAGTGTGAGCCTGGATGCCCGGCACCGAAGAGCTAATAGGCGTAAGGAACAGTTGCGCATGTACAGGAGGCAATAGCACTCAGCTGATGGTCATTAGGTCCCTCTCCAGACTATAAAAAGACTGCTTATGCACACGCCTCTCTTGCAGAAGTCAACACAGGAATGAATGTTGGAGAACATTTTTGTGAGCTTGGCAGGCTGGATTGCTGCCAGGGCTTATCTGTGCTGGATTGCTGACCAGCTTGTCTGTGCCAATTTGCTGCCAAGGACCTGTCTGTCTGTTAATAAATTGCATAAAGTATCTTTGGCTCGGAGTGTGCTTTGGTGTGGAACGAGGGGGGTCAGAACACTTGGCATTACAATACAAGATAGAAAGACCTGAACGCGTATTAAAGAACAAAAAAAAGTATGTAATATCACCAAGGGAGTAAAAGAATTGCAATGGAAATGGACTGATCACATAGCAAGAGAACTGATGCCAGGTGGTCATAAAATGGATTCCATTTTGATAAAAAGTGTCCATGAAAGAGACCTAAAACAAGAGGGATTGACGACATCAACAAGTATTGTGGGCTCATTTGGCAAAAGAAATCTCAGGACCATATTTGGGTGGAAACATAATGACAAGGAAAGTCTTCTAGATTAATAAAGGTCCTGTAAGGGGGGAAAAAAGAACTTCAAGAAATTGGGCTCAAGACATACAGTAATTCAAGGGGGAGTAGAAGATAGACAGGAAAAGCTAAGGAGATATTTCACTGCATTCAATCAAAAATGCAATTTTTCTATTCAAGCCAAGTACTTAAAAACAAAATACTTGAAAAATTAAAGCAGAATGTGGTTGTTTATCAAACTGATTAGCACCTTAGCCATAACTGCGTAAGGCATATCTTCACCACTACTCTTTTATTCTCTCATCCTTCAAAAATCTAAAATCTAAAATCATTTCAGTGAAGCAATAAGAACAATGACAGAAAGGTAAATGTAGCCAAGAAACATATATAAGAGAGCACTATCCTGAGGATGCTTGAAAATGGGAAGGGGGAGACCAAGGGAGGGGAGAGGACGGAAGGAAAGGGAATAGAGCCATAGTTTAGATTGGATTAAACTCTTAAGGAGATAACAGGGTATGAATTATCTTCAAAAACACTGATCCTATTACTTGGCACAATAAAACCTTTTAAAAAGTAATAATCTGTTACATTAACTAAAAGGATAACCAAAGAAAAGAACCAATTCTGGCAGAAAGAAAATTAATTCATTAAAACTAATATACTTCAAAAGAATTGTGGCATGGATTATGGAAAATGCTGAGAATTGTACATTTAGTGTTACAAAGATTATGCTGCTAAAATTTATGATTCTAAATTCTAGAGCTTTTTTTGCCTTTTGTATTAGAATGTGCATGTAGAATTTTATTTTATTTTGTACAATAAAGATGTAAATAATTAAGTTATATGTGTGTTCTCAATAAAATGTGGTCAAACCTTCATCTGATAAATACACGACAGCACCTTCCCCTGGATCTGGACATGGAGGCTCGATCTCTAAACCTGTGGGATTATAGAGAGGCTCCGGATGAGATGGAATCCATTCTGGAAAGAAAAAGAAAGAAAATAGCTTTAAAATGATGTGTTAAAAACCAAAAATAAAAATATCCCGTTTTCCTCAAAATAAGACCTATCCCAAAAATGAGACCTAGCATGGTTTTTTTACCTGTGCACCTAATATAAGCCCTACCCCCAAAATCAACTCTACTGAACAACCTGTGCAAATGGCCATCCACCCATTCCGTCTGGTTCCTTGTGGTGCCACGGCCACGAGACAAGGTGAGGGGTGATCGAGCTGCCCCACAACACTGCACTGGCTTACCTCAGGGCCCCCTTAGCCAGGCCATCCATAGCCTGACACCTGCCTCACGGTGGTAGCACCAGCAGCCATGTGCAGCAAGAGTCCACATGGCTGCCGGCCCACTTCTTCTGCTTGCTTGTGGTTGCAACGGAGCAGGAGGCTGAGTGGTGTGCTGATGCTACGGCCACGAGGCATTTCAGGTCATGCATGGCATAAATATGGGGGCCTTGAGGTAAGCCAGTGCAGGGCGCATAGGGCAGTTGCACCCACCATCACCCTGCCTTACCTCATGGCCATGGCACCAGCATGTTGCTCAGCCTTCTGCTCCATTGCAGCCCCGAGTAAGCAGAAGTGGCTGCATGGGATTCCTGCTGGACGAGGCTGCTGGAGCCACCGCCACAAGGTGATGCAGGTGTCGGGGTGTGGGTGACCTGGTGGCAGGGACCCTGAGGGAAGGTGGTGATGGGCATGTGGGGCAGCTCCGCCTCTTTGCCTCACGGTGGCAGCGGCATTCGCATGCCACGCAGCCTCCTGCCTCACCACAAGCAAGCAGAATTGGGCCTCCTATACATGGGGGGAAAAGTAAGACACCTCCACCCTAAAAATAAGCCCTAGTGCTTTTTTTGGAGCCCAAAAGAAAATGAGACTGGTCTTATTTTCAGGGAAACGTGTGTGTACAACTCTGCAACTATGACCTTGTCGTATTTACTTTTTATTATGGTTTCATTATTACTTTAATCTGTATTTTATAAATAGGTTTAATGTATTTTAATTAATTATTTTAATTATATTCCTGTTCAGATTTTTTTTCAGAGAATCTGTAGAAATTTTTAAAACCATAACAAAATATAGTAATTATACTGAAATATATAATAATTATATACTTGTGTAAAATTTTGTACAGTGCATTTACATTTGGTTGTTATATTGGTTGACCAGTTAAAAAAATCAAGTGTATTTGTACTGGTAGAATATTCTATCATGCCACAAGAGCTTCTAAACGGAGTGACTTCATTCCACTAAAAATATGTTAGCATATTTTTTTTATACATGCTTCCTTTGTTATATGTAGGGGTAGCTTTATGTAACCTACCTTCAAGTTATTCAATTTTATCTTAAATAGCAAAAGACTGCTTTTGCCAGAAGGTGTCATCAGAGGAACTCAAGACTTTAGCAGAAAACCCCCCTGCACAATTCTTTTTGCTAAGGCCCAATGCAACCTTAAACAAATAGAAATTTCTTTCCAACACAATTTCTAGGAAGTAGATAGATAGGCATTTCCATATCGTTTAGTTGGAATTAAAAGGAAGCAATTTGCCACTAATTGCTTCAATGTAGAAAATTTCCCCATCTACTGTTCTGAAATTTCCTGGTGTTCACAATCAAAATATTGAACAGATTCTGGCTTTTCTTAGCTTCTCAAAACCAGTTATCAAGGTTGGCCTATAATCACAACAAAAAATGGAGATTCACAAAAGCAGACTAGTCTTCAAAATAAAAGGTCAGGTTTGTCATCTTAAGAGTATTAAATTAATTTTGATTTTTCCCACTTGCTGTATCTGAAATTAAATTAAAAGAAGATACCCAAAACAAAGTATTCATTTAGTATTCCATTTTGCCATGGTCAGTTCCCTTTGTAGGGGAGGCCTGCTGCCGGAGATGATAAGGCTAAAACAATGGCATTACATTCTATCTCTCTAGATGTCTCTCCTTATTTCAGTCACCCTTTGGAGCAAATGCTTCTCTCTTTAAAAAGTCCTTGGAGCAAGGAAATTAGGGTTGGTGATCCCAGAAAATGCTTGTGTTATCATGAAGTCTCTGCTGTTATCGACTGCAATGGTTTAAACCCATCCGCCTGTCTAACTTCAGTGTTTCACTGCCATTGCAATTAATTCAAAGAAATGTTAAGTTGATCAAATCACAGAGCAATAACACATTCATAAATATTGGATTATCCAAATAGGCACAATTGCACTCCTATCCTCTTCCAACTAGTATAGAACTGTAACTGAGGATGGGATTGCACTGCTGACAAGAAAAAGATATACAAATTTTGAGAATATTTAGGCTTAATGTAGTTGAATAGTCAATTGTTAAAACTGTTCTTTTAATATGTCAAATCTCCTATAATTGAGTTTTCCATTTGTTTACATTTAAATTTGAAAGCTGAATTAACTGCAGCAATGCAAAGTGATGAATCAAGAAAAAAATATTTAACTGGTTGCAGCAAGTCAGAGAGTGCTTTATTGGAAATAATATTTCTTTGTGACCTACCTATCAATAAAATGTCACATTAGAAAAGGTTAAATTATTACTTACCAATATGCTTAATTTTTTCTCTGATAACTTCATACTGATGTGGCCAGCGTACTAAGTGCAGATCTCCTGCAGAAGAAAGGCCATATAAATCTCGTGGTTCACGAAGTCGTGGCACCCATTTTCCAGAGTTATATTCCAATAAAATCTGTGTGGTCCGTGGCAAAAGTTGATCACAAAAAGAATCTGTAAGACAAATATGTGCATATGTTGATCACAGATCAATTTTGAGTTTGATGTTTCAATACCCTTCCCTCTGCAATCATGGGTGGTAGATTTAAACAGTTATAGAATTGTGTTCTCACACTTAACCCAGCACTTAATACATAGACTTATGAATAAGTAGAAATAAATTGATCTGACTAATAGAATTCAAATGTTTTTTCCTAAAACTTAAGTGCTCCAAAATCACTTCTATGATTGTTAAATGCTATAAGCCTCCTCCACATTCAGATCTGACAAAAGAAGTAAGTTATTCATTATGATGTTGTGGCAGATTGCATTTAATTTTTAGGATCTGATCTTAGACGGTAATAAATTCTTATTTTGTTAGTTTTAAGAGTTTTTTTTTTAATCTTGGAATTGTATTTCTCAAACAAATCAAAAATCTTGTCATCTCTATATCTCAAATAAAAATATTATTTATGACTGTGGCATATTGCAAACTTTGCAAAAGCTGCAAATTAGCCAAAATAGCAACAAAAACTGCTCCACAAAACAAATGCAGAATTTATAAGACTTGACTTTGAGTGAAGGGTTAGACATTTATATGGTATTATCTAGTTTGATGGGGGTATATTTGAAATAATTCTTGTTTGATGAGAATTGCACAGTGGCAGTGGAAAAATAAAGATGACTGAAGTTGCAACATTTTGAATCAATACAACTAGGAGAAAATATTCTGTAATGTAACATGAATAAATGAATGAGAACAAGATGATCTAATGCAGATTGTTTTACTATTATTTGGAACATTTAAAGACCCAAACAAGAATAGTTCTGAATGTGGAACAGACCAGTTTTGGTAGTCCAAGAACTTGAGAAAAATGAATTTGAAGGAAGAAAGTGGAAAGGAAATGACAGGAATAAAACATGTAAGTATGAAAAAGCTATTAGAATATAGATTAATCTCCCAGCAGAATGAGTGAAAGTGGACTTAAAGAACTGTGAAAAGTGAAAAAAGAATGAAAAAAAAATGTTAAGAGTGCCACAGAAGACCGTGGAGTTATTCTTCGAATGAGAAGTATGAAAAAGGAAACCTGACAGAATGATGAAACAGGCGAGGCAATGATGGAATTATACTTGATGGTAGTAACATATTTATAGTTTGCAGAAAAAAGATTGCCAAGAATGCAGTAAAAAGAACAAAAATAGTGAAAATGAAGGGGCATAGAAAATTTAGAACTATTCTGATGGAAATTGAATCAAAATTGAAGTATGGAAAAGAAATCTTCAGTTAGGAACCATGAGTGGAATGAATGGAATTAAAAGTGATAAACTGAAATGATGGAATGTTAGAAAGAGCCTTTTTGTGGGATGTGTATATGTGTACCCAAGCCATGTTTTTTTTCCCAGCAAGTCACTGAGAAATGTAGCAATGTGAGAAAGGAAATTAATTGTGCACATGTTTACTCAGATAAAATATATGATAATAATAAGCTTGAATTTTGGTATGTTTTGTCTAACAATGGAGATGATGGTAACTGCTGAATGTAGTGCATGTGATATGTAATAGTTTTTAATGTATTTATAAGTAAATATAGACAGAATGCTTTTGGTGACATTTGTGGTGGAATGTAGCCCAGATTCCCCAGAGGGAGGGTGTGCATTCCAGAGGAGCAAAAGAAAACTAAGTTTGTGTGGGAGAGAGAGAATTAAAACAGTTCATCCCCAAGAGTTCTCAGAATATATTTTAATAGTGCAAGTAAGTCTGCTTTAGTTTGGCAAGATTTCTGTCTATAGGATGAGAATGATAAAGGAAACTGCTTAGAAAAACTTGTGTGTGCCTTTCTTGGCATTTGGAATCTGACACATTAGAGGTATATTGGTTGGAAATGTGAATATACATATATCTCTTAATGCAGATGATGTTATGTTTTTTAGAACTTGGATGATATCAATTTATAACAAGACATGTAACTCTGAAAATTAATGTATCAAATACTATAGTAATTACTGTATTTTTTGGAGTATAAGACGCACCTCCCCCCCAAAAAGAGAATGAAAATCTGGGCGCATCTTACACACTGAATGCAGCATTTTTGGCCACCCAAAACTCCGCCCCCTTTGCAAAAATGGCTGTGCATAGCCTTTAGGAGGCTTCCAGAGTGCTCCTGGGGGCTGGGGAGAGCAAATATGAGTGAAAAATGGGCTATTTTTTCCTCATTTTTGCCCCTCCAGTCCCCAGGAGCATTCTACAAGCCTCTTAAAGGCTTGGCATGCACTTTTTTTTTGACAAAAAAACAGGCCATTTTTGGGAGGTCTGCAGAGTGCAAAAACTTGTTTTTTCCAATTTGCCTCTTCAAAATCTTGGTGTGTCTTATACTCCAGTGTGTCTTATACTCCGAAAAATATGGTAGTTTTTGTCAGGGAAAATGTAGTGAATTATTCCATATGCTACATAAATGGCTAAAGCTAGATGAAATAGATGAATGTGTACACCTTGCAGAATTGTTTGATTAAGGTAAGAAAACAATTGAGGAAATCTGAAGATGTACAAATGCTGGCAGAAAGCAGGAATTACATGGTTTTTGCAAGGAATAAATGTTTGCTGAATGAAGTAGAACATACTTCCATTCCCAGTCCACTGGATATTAGATATATCAGAAAAATTGAAACAGAATGCAATAGGAATGGTGTACTTAACAAGTATAAATAATAAAATAACAACAGACAGTAAATATTGTTGTGTAAACTAGAATTCGATATATTTTCTTATGATCTTATTGTTTAACATATGTAGATTATACTTTCTTAATTCCTTTTCTGGGCTACTAATTAAAATTCCAATTATGATGAGCATACAGATATGTTTATTTCTTAGTATAAGAGATAATTCATCCACAAAAAAAGTGAACACAATTGCTTCAGATGTGTTCCAATATATTTAGAAGGCATTATGTATGCCAACCTTTTGCTACACCTACATGGCAATTCATTTTTAATATTACCCATATTTATGTACCCTCAGTTTGCAAGAAATAGGACTAATCAGACCTGCAACAAATGCACACTGCTCAAGATCTTCTGCTCCGTATGGGATAAAGGAATCCTCATCCTAAAATACAAATAAAATAAAAGAGAAAATGTGATTCTTTCCTGCAAAATGAAAATTAACAATTTGGTAAAAATAACTATTAAAATTCATGCTTTATTATTAATTTTGTAGGACAAAACTAAAAAATAATAATAATGAGGTAAAAAGAAAAATAGATTCGGGGCTTTGGAATACAATATGGAAAATATGCATATTAGGATGGCCTGTCCTATGGCATCAAATAGGGTGAATGTGCTCCAGTCCTTTCTCTTAAATGTTGCCATATGGTGGGATCTCAGACATGTTTTCATGTTAGTCCCAGCCCTTTTGAAAAATCTCCCCTTTGAGATTCAGAGGGCTCCCACTTTATTAGCTTTCTAGAGAGCAATGAAGATTTGGTTCTTTACCCAGGTATTGGGCTAGGATAGAATGAGAACAGCTAATCTAATTATAAATGTAAAGTTGTTTGGATGTTGTGGCATATAAATATGTTGTGGAATTCTTATAGAAATGTATTGCTATATTAGCTATATATCTATTCAATGTTATTGTGAGCTGCCTGGGATTATCATGTATAAGGTAGTCATATGTTTCCTAGATAAATAAATACAGGTTAATCCCAGTGTACCATTGGTAAAGAACACAGCGTGGATTGCTAGAGATCAAAGCAGAGAGTAATACGGTACTTAAGCCAAACTATGCATATCTTTTAGTTGTACACAATAGACTACAATTCATATCACAGTAGTCTCAGCATCTCATAGGGGTGGTAGGGCAAGGAAATGTAATTCAATACATCTTATATTATTGGATAAGGCAAGATTACTATGAATTAAGATTTCTGTCTCTGAAATACTATATTTGATTTTGCCCGTCTGGTAGATTTTACCTATCTGGTACGAACAGGCTGAGAGGATGTTGAGGTTACTTTCTTAGATATCAGGAGGTTGAAGGTATAGAACAGGGCTGTCAAACTCACGGCCCGCAGGCCAGATGCATCACATGCTGGCCAAGCCCATGCCGAGTTTACCAAATGGGGGGAAAAGTCCCAATACATCACGTGACATTGCCTTGATGACAAGAATTTGACATTCCTGGTCTAGAAGCAGACCTTCTCAGTGCCAGCTCCTTCCCCTGCAACATTTTATCATTTGGGTTGAAAAAGGCTATTGACATTATGGCCTATTAATGAGGCTATAAAGATGATCCTGTCTTGTATAGTATTTGGAACGGAATATTCCAAACAAGTTCTCACGTCTGGGCTGCTAAGGAATGACTGAGATATATTTTTATAAATTTATATTGTTTGTTAGATAATTGCTTTATTATTCTGTTGTTTCTATTAGATCATGAACTGCCTTGAGACTTGAATGGAGGTACATAAAAATGATGGTAGTAAAGAAGTAAATATGAATAGATGCTGTTTTCTACTAAAGTTATTAAGCACTAGGAAATGTGATAATTATTTATGGAAAACGATTCTGTGTCTGGATATGTGGCATTTGGCTAGGAGAATGGCTACATGTATTCGATAATAGCTTAAATGCAATACATTTCTGTAAGAGGCAGTACAATGTTGGGATTAGCAGGTTTGGATTTTATAACTGCAGATTTAAAAAAATATTGGATATAAAAAATGTAATGTGGAGAAAATATTGCACAGATAACACAAGGAAGTGCACACTGTATATTTTAAATAATTGTTATGGTATCTACTGCCTAGGCAAATACAATTTAAATGCGTATGAGGAAATATACAAGTAGGAGAGGAATAGTTATCTACTGTATATTTCCTTTAACAAATAAATGGACTATATAGCTTAGAATTAGCTAAGTTTAAAGTGCATACAAACCCAGTAATTAATTAATTAAATGTTAGAAGAATATACAAAACTGAAGGTTAAACATACTGAGTTGTAATTTTCACTCGTTAATTGTTGTATGTACTGCTTGACCTTATTTGAATCTTCGGACATAATCTTCTGAAACCAGGCCCTTTATTTTTCCTCCACAGACTGAAACATAATCAAAATCTATTATATTGAACACTGCAAATATACAGTCTCCTTTGTTAATATTTCTAAAAACATGTTAGTCAAGCTATTGAAAGCTTTCAGTATAGTAGTATAACATACTGTAAAAACACAAATAAAATGATTAAAAATCAAAGATTAAAAGTACAGTTTAAAGAAGCAATCATTAAAATACCACTGAAACAGACTAATTAAAAGCACTACGTATCAGATGAAGTTCTAGGAAATTAAAAAGCTCTAGGGTTAAATAGCAACTCAATAGGTGCTACATGGACACTTCTGGAAACAGCATTCCTTATCTTGGAATACCTACTTCAAATGACCCACCCAGGTAGGCACCTGAAACATTGGGAGTAGGGCCTTACTCTATGATCTCAGGACTTAAAAAGGAATACATGTTGCAGATGTTCTTCCCCATAGTGAAGCCCCAAGACATAATCGTACTGGAAGAAAACTGGGAACCAATAAGTAAAATATGTACTGTCTTTACCATGATAATACACAATTCCACTTGGTATTCTAGCTGTCTTATTTTGTATCAACCTAAATATTTTGCATAAATATCCAGATAGCCCCATGAACAATCTTGTAATAGCCCTAAATTATCTGCAATACTCTCCACCAAAAATATTAATAATTTTCAGTCGCTTGCACGTTTTGTTGTTGACAGTAATTTGAACTATAGTCTCAGTTCTATCCATATATGTTTTTCCGGACACTTATATAATATTCATACTTTATTTAAATATGTCATTACTGCTATATTAATGGGTTTAAAATTGAGGAAAGGATAAATATCCCTCCACATTTTTCATTTATTCAATTGAGGACACATTTGACTGTGTTTTAATTATAATTTATCTTTATCTTTACCTTTTTGTCATCTTGCCATCTTTACTCTTCTGGTTTCTTATTTTTAATGTTTTAAATAATTTGTAAACTGCTCAGAATTGCTGGGAGCCAACCAGTGTATACAGGTAATAAATTATTATTATTGTTATTGTTGTTGTTGTTATTATTATTTTATTTTATTTTATGCCATGTGAGGTGTACCAACATAGGAACAGAAAAGTATGACACAGTGACTGCCTCTTCTGTACCACTTTTGCTGTCTGGTAAAATTTCTTAAGATCTACTATATAATGCTATAAAAATTTAACTTTTAAATATATTTGTAAAGAAAAAGCTAGTAATTTCCATTGCCTCCCAGTAATCTTATCCTTTGACAGTAAAACATAAATCAAGAATAAGTATCCATTGAAGGTGCAACTAACTGACTAGAAAGTCTAAGAACTTAGGGCTGCTAGTCTTGTGGTTACCTTATATATTTATACTGGTTGAGGGTGAGATAAATCTTTTGAAGAATTCAAAATCATTGTCATGAAGACCAGACAAGAAAAGGAAGGTTGTTGTGTTGATATAGGTGCAATTTTGGGAAAGGCCCTGTGCAGTGATGTGCGGTGAGCTTTATGGCTGGTGAGGCAGCTTTTTAGACTTGTGGACTNATAGTTAACACTAAGCAAACTCCAAGTCATAGTGATCTGGCAGCAACTACCTTGGCTTTAATTATTTTTAAAATTCTTTAAAATTCTTTTCTTTTCCTCATGACTGGTGAGGCCACACCACCCCTGCCTCTAGTGACTGCACTGCCCTGGCCCTGTGACAGCTAAGCCCAACAGAGTCTTGGGTACTTTAAAGATGGTTTTTGATTAAGCTACAGTTAGAAGGCAGGCAGAGAAGTATCTGAGAAAGGTGGGTACTTTTAAAAAGAGCATTCCAGCTTTAAAGAGTTGTGTTATTCAGCCTAAAATACATGATTGTATCTGCAAGCAATTTTTCTGCCTGGAAAAAAATGTATTTTGGCCCAAGGATGGGTATATAATTATTCCATATGAAATTATAACCCTTTAAATCCCCAGCTTGTGGTAGCTGATAAAAGCTGTTATTCAAGCTAAAAAGTCAACATAGACCCACGTATCTCAAAGTTACTTAGATTGAGAAACATTTCCTTAAAGTATCTGTTCCTAGTGCACATTAAAACAGTATGTGGGTCCTTGTTGCTCTCTTGAGCTTGGTTGTTTTCTTTCATTACCCAAATAGGTAACATCTTCAGTGCTGGAAGGGAATGGGATTTTCTCTATTTATATACTAGTGGCTTGCCCTGCCAGTGTTGGTGGAAGTGTTCTTGATGGTTCCTTCATTAGACTTTTGTTTACGGTTAGCTTGTTTATCAACGTACATAGTTCCTAGTTGGGTAATGAAACATCTGCAGAAAAACAACCAAGTTCAGAGAGGCACCAAGGACATCACAGTTCAAAGGTAAGCTACAAATATTCTTTTCTACTGAAAGCAATATGCAGACACATAAATTTAAGGAGATGTTTCTCAATCTAAGTAACTTTGAGATATGTGGACTTCAACTCCCAGAGTTCTCCAGGAAATTCTGGGAGTTTAAAAGTTCACACTTAAAGTTGCAAGACTGAGCAACACTGCTCTAAGGTTTTCCTCTTTAATAAATCATCAACTCTGCAGAAACACTAGTTAAATAATTTCTAGGCAGTTTCTGCTAAATGGAGACTGATCCAATTAAACAGATGGATTTATGACATCAAAATGGGGGATTTTCAGGAGGTCAATAACTCTGTACTGTGATTATTTCAGGAGCTCTAGAGAAAGTCCAAAGTGCAATTTGAAGGCATCGCAAGTCCTATTTGGTTGAACGGGGAAGATTATGGCTCAAAATTCAGTAGATGAGTCTGGAAATTATCTCCTCCTAATCCATCAATCAGATTATCTCTCCCCCTTCTCACTTGCATTTTGAAGAATTCAAAATCTTGCATGCTATTAGCCGACAATCTGCTTGGCTTCATAAAGCTATCGCCTTAACGTAACCCACTGCCTGCGATGCTTTTCCGTTACACTTAGAATAATTCGAGCTCAGCGATGCACACTTCCACTGTATTCTGTGTTCTCTCTTCCTTTACCTTGGTATAACGCGTGACTGCTGATTCCCGAGTGCCGGGCAAAGAAGAGGAATCCCTAACCACGCATGGCTAAATTTCAGTTTCGACCTCAGCATCCAGCCCGCAGCAATGTCAAACCGCTGCGCTGCCAGGGCGTGGCCTCGGCACTCTCTCGTGGCCTGTGATGGCGGCGGCGGCCGTGAATTCCAACGAGGAGAGCGTTGCTATGGCGACCCCGAGCGACCCGGTTCTTTCCTAGAATCGTTCGCCTTTTCCGCTCCTTCTCCCGAGAGGCGCCTAGGTTTGGAAAGGCAGCCCCGCTTTCGCGGCAGGAGGGGCGAGAAATAGATGCCTCCGCTTTCCCTTCGAAAACGGGCGTAGGACTCGGAAGGAGAAAAGAGGGAAATGTCTTTTTCTTAATGGCTTACACTCTTTGGTTGCACTTCGCCCTGTTCGCAACTCTGCTACTTACTGAGAGAGAGTTGGTGAAATCGCTTCCCAGGAGCACAAAAGGGGGGGAAAAGATTGCCGAGAAGTGCGCTTACCTGCATGGTGGCATTGTGAAGATTGTGAGTTTCCCTCCCAGCCTTCCTATCCTGGAAAGATCCGGCAGAGATTGACAAAAGTTATCTCAGCTCTGAATCCCCCATACAGTGAAAGGCTTGCAACTTCTGGCTGTAGTTGTTCACATTTCTGCACACTGACATAATCGGCCACCTGTATAAATACAGAGCCTATCATGCTTTTATATTTGAACAGGTACATTAACTGAAAATTTATGGGAGAAAAAAATTGGTTATATATGTATTTTGGTTCTGACTTTGGAAGCATTTGGCATGTCTGCACTGCCAATTGTACACCTATAAGCATATCACATGTGACATGTTTTTTAGAATATGTAAGAAATTTGAACCAGCCCACAAACTCATTACCCAAAAGTGTGGATTTGGTTTTACTGTTTATATAATATATGGGAAATGAGAGAGTGTGGGCTGTGTCTTTTCCCAACACTAAATTAAATTTGGGAACAGCAAGGAATTTGATTATATGGAAATGTTGCTAAGCATAGAACTGTTGAGTAAATTTGCTGCTGTTTCTGCTGCTGTCTTTTTATGCACTTATAATTTTACATCACATTTTAAAATCAGCTAAATTGAATAGGAATAAGATTGTGAACTGAAAGATTCCTAATTCTTGAAATATACTAAATATCTTTAACAAGTAATGTTAAATTCAGCTTTAAGTAGTGTGGTTTGCTTGCTTACTGTAGCAATCCTGGAAATTATGTTTCTAAGCATTAGTATGGATCATTGAAAAGAACAACAAAGATGTAATGCTTATGATTCAAAAATGTAAATGTGGCGTGAGAAGCAAGGATAGGAAAAATTTAGCAAATGAATAAATAATACAAATGAGTTATAATAGTATAAATCATATTTTTATGTATCGTTGGAAAAGTGTTTTTAAAGATCTTTGCAGCTTGTTCTTATACATAGCCTGCCAAAGGAATAAATACAAATTATGAAATATAGAATCTACCAAGCTTCCCTTCCATGTGCAGAAGACAATCCATGGGAAATGTGAATCAGTAATCCATGGCTTTCAATAAATGAAAAGAAATAGGAGCTGTCTTATTCTGCTCATGAACATTTTGAGAATAGTTGGTTACAAGTTCACATTCAATTTATAAAAGATTGTTAAAATGTAATCATTAATCGCACAGCTTTAACATTGATCATATATTATATAAACAGTAAAATCAAATCCACTTTGGTTCCCTATGCAAACACAAGTGTTTAATTTGCTCATTTGGGATTCTGAATGATTCTGTCTCTTGGAATCTAGCAGAATTTGTGACTTGAGGTCAGTTTAGGATGCATAGTCGATGAGGTACTGCTTTCTTATCATAGAATATAGTTCAGAGACCAGCTCAGTGAAGATATTTTTGCATGTGCCATTATAATATAGATATTTCTTTCTTTCGTGGCATTCTCTAGACATGTTAAATTATTATTCCCGTAATAACCACTAAATTATGGGAAGCATATCCAGAGAACTCAAGTTTAGGGAGACTGAAAACAATTTCAGTAGTTCTTTAGCATACACACTGTTGGATAATATATATATACAGTACAAAAGGGGTTAAGGAGGAAGTTTTATAAATTATTTATATTAACACTGGTGGTTTCTATGGTAATACACTTATACTAATGGCATAAGATACTCCAGGGAGCCTGACAATGCATTGTATCTCTTTGTGTACAAATACTCATATTGGTTTATACTGAACTTGTGATCTGATATCCATTATATATACACTAATAGATAAATAGTATAGCATTCATTGATTAATTTTGAAGATCTCTGTTGAAATTGTGTCAAATTTCTTAGTATTGTTTGTTTGTTTGTTTGTTTGTTATATTTATATGCCGCCCTTTCCCCCCAAAGGGGACTCAGGGCGGCTCACAACTCAAACCAGGGAAGGGGGATACAGACAAAAAATTAAAAAACGAAACATAACAATGCATAATTTAAAACACACAACAGTCATACCATTCGAGACGGGGGCAACAGCTCTTTAGCCCCAGGCCTGTCGGAACAGCCAAGTTTTAAGGGCTTTGCGGAAGGCTGGAGGGTGGTGAGGGTTCGAATCTCCACGGGGAGTTCGTTCCAGAGGGTCGGAGCAGCCACAGAGAAGGCTCTCCTCTGGGTAGTCGCCAGTCAACACTGGCTGGCGGATGGAATTCGGAGGAGGCCTAATCTGTGGGATCTAATCGGTCTAGTGGAGGTAATTGGCAGCAGGCGGTCTCTCAAGTACCCAGGTCCAATACCATGAAGGGCTTTATAAGTGACGACTAGCGCCTTGAAGCGTATCCAGAGACCAATAGGCAGCCAGTGCAGCTCGCAGAGGATAGGTGTTACGTGGGTGAACCGAGGTGCACCCACGATCGCTCGCACGGCTGCATTCTGGACAAGCTGAAGTCTCCGAATGCTCTTCAAGGGCTGCCCCATGTAGAGCACGCTGCAGTAGTAAGCTTTCATAAGATGCTTGTAATGGAAGTTGATGGTGAAGCATATTAAACACCTACTATATGTTAGGATACCCGCAGCCAGTTTTCTGACCCCACCTCCTTCATTCCTATCGGAACTATTTTTTGGGAATTAATTACCAGGAATGTTATTGATATGAAGCATGTATCAGTTTTAAAAAGAAGATTCAATCCAAGCATTACTGCAATTTTTAAAACAGGTTTATAGTAAAAGAACGAAGGCGTATTTATATTCTTAAATATATTTATAAATATTAGAAGATGAAGCCATGACTGAGACACCATTCCCTCTTAGGAAATTGAGAACAAGAATTAAGAAAGGAATTTTATTTACTTATTTATTTTTGCAGAGGAATATGATTTGAACTATAATCCTAAACACATTTATGGGAAAAAAAACTTTATTTTCCAATCTATGTGACTGATTTCCCATTCATTTCAGTGTGTGTCTGGGTTGCCATATAAAAATATATTAGGAAATATGGGATTCAGGGAGCAGAGAAACCAGGAATTTCAGGGGGAAAAAGAATAATTAGAAAACAAAAACGTTTAAAAATGCAAGAAAATTTTACCTTGAAGCCAATTAATAACCGAATCACAGATGCATGTTCAGAAGTAGTCCTGTATATGCAAATTAATGGCTCGCTGTTTGTAAACTTAGATGAGATGAACTGTGTAGTAATTTGACGAATAAATAAGTAAATAAAATAGTCTCTGACAACCCCTATACTTCTCTAAAAGGTACAAATCAAAATCAATAGTAAAAGGGAAAAATTGTCCCCAAAATATGAGACAGTGAAATATTATAACATATTTCATCCTGAATATCAGATAGAAGACATTAAAGATGAAATCCTACTACACTATACAGAAATCTATCAGTCTAATGGTTACAGAATTTTGTGGCCATGCTGCTAATAGGACAGCAGAGCGTTTCCTGATCCAGCATATGAGATATAGAGGATTGGCTGGCTCTTCCTTCTGATTCACCCTTTATTTGTTTTCATTAATAAATTTTATATATATATATATATATATATATA